GAGCAATACCATTCATTCATTCAAACTGACTTGAGTATTGTTCAGAAAGTTCCAAATTACTTAACAGTTTCAAGTTAACTGTTACACATCTGTTTTCTTTTATGGTTTTATTGCAGTACTTTGTACTTACTAAGACAGTAATCTTTGCATCCACCTATTTCTGATAGATCTTCATTTCCACACACAGATTTAGCTATCTTCCTCACATTTCTGGCAAAGAGAGTTGCATGCTACTGGCCTAGAGGTAACTCCTTCCTAATTTCATATGATTTAACACAAATTCCACTACTGCATGATAACATAATCATGCAAAAAAGACCTCCACCAATAGGAGGGCAACACATCTCCATGCACAGTAACTACCCCAATGTATTGTTTGCATTTGCTTAGGTTTCATTCTTTGATATGCAAAGAAGAAAATGTGAGCTAGAAGTGGAAAGAATGGGTGGGAATGAAGGTAGAGGTATTTATCAGAAATACATTTTTAGGTAAGGAAAATGTTAACTTTCAAGACTATACTTCACCCCCTCACACAGGCTTAACTCGATTCACAAGTTGAATTGGTGGAGAGGCTGGTGCAAATTTTTCTAAGATGAGCTCCCTTCAGAAAGCCTATGGAGTGTGACACCCAATAGCAGGAGCTTCATTGGGGTGCATCTGTAAGAGACTGCACCTTGTCTCATCCAGGGTACACTCTTCACCTGTATGGAAAAATGGGAAGAGTTAAAGAAGCCAAATGTGTGTTGCAGAGAAGGGCAGAATGAAACGATAACCATCCGAGTACTTGAACACAAATTATCCGACAGCCAATAAGTATAGTGTAGTTGGGTGAGCCTTAACTCAACCATCAGACTTTATGGGACAGACTCCAGCTGTGAGAGGATGGCACATGTAATAAGTATCAATGTGCTCATGTCAACTTTATAATCAGAGTTTATTGGACAAACTCCAGCTGTGAGAGAACAGCACATGTAATAACTATCGATGTGCTCATCTCAACTCTATCATCAGACTATACAGGATAAATTCCAGCTGCAGAAGGAGGGCTCATTATAACTGTAATAAATATTCATGTGCGTGCCTCAACTCTACCATCAGACTCTAAAAGTTATGAGGGGAGAGCAGTACAGTAATGGAACATAGACCAGTATAAGGTGTGTATATTTTGACTCCACTAAACAGACACTGACTGCAAGAGAAGGACATATTAGATATATACATATGCTCACCTCAACTCAAATGAACAGATTCTAGGAACAGTGGCTACATGCCCATCCTAGGACCAGAGAAGAAGAGATGCTAGAGTATGAAAAAGGTGATGAGTTGAATGAGAAAAATGTAAAAGAGTCTGTAATCATCCACCTCCCAAATGAACATGTCAACTGGAGGAGTTGACAGACCCATCCAGTAAGAGTAGAAGGAAATGGGTCCCTGGTAAAATAAAAAAAAGGAGGGATCCCAAAAGGGAAAGATCTGTGAAAAGATACACTGAACAGTCCAACTAGAAACAGAAGCCAATCCAGGTACAAATGGTCTGATAGATAAGAGTAAGTAGGAAGGTATACAGGAAATAAGTACCATAAACCACCCAAGTAGACAAAATGGACAGAGCATGAAGAAATGTCTCAGATACAAAAGTGGAGTTAGGAGATAGAGTACAGGAAGGCAGAGAGAAAAGGACGAAGAAGGAAAAAATAAGGAACCAAGAAGTGAAATAGAAAGTAAAAGGTTCGATCCCCAAGCTAGCCAGATAGATACCAATGAAAGGGAATTAAGAAAAGGATGGAAGTCTACAAATCAGGAGTCACAAACATCAGGGAGTATGAGGCATTTGGATCTGAGAAAGTTGTTAGAGAAAAGAAACAGTACAAATTCTAAAGACAAGCAAAACACCAAGCAATGTGGGTCACAGAGTAATAAAATGAAAATTAATAAAAAACACAAGCAAAATATAAAGAAAGGAACATGCCTGATAACAAAATTCATAGAGAAAAAGAAAGATTAAACTTGTTTCACAAATGGTAAAGTACTACCCAAAGCAAAGTGGTGAAGGTCGCATTCCCGACTGAGGAGAAAGAAATTCAACTGACAGGACACTAGTACGAGGCCAGTAAGCCAGTGGTAAACCACATCATGTTCTACAATGGTTGCAACGACCCTGATAGCTAACAAGCCTCCTAGAGCCATAGTAAAAATAAGACCTGAGAATGAACCAATTCACTCATGCAGAACTAATAATAAATAACTGCCTTTGAGAATGCAGGATAAAAATTAAAGCTCTTGAAACATAAGCCAAATAAAATTAAATATAAAGTTCCATTAATGATGAGAATCTCAACAAAGTGAATTCAGATGAGAAAATTAAACACATCTGATCAATACTATGGTAAAGAGAAGAATAAAGAATAATTTACATGAGTGCAAATGCCTTGCGGAAGTTACTGCACACAGATGTGTGTCACCCTCCTATTGGTAGAGGGGTTTATTGCATGATTACATCATCGTGCAGTATCGCAATTCCTTTAAGTCATGTTAATTTAGGTGGAAGTTACCACAAGGCTAGTGATAAGCAAGGAAGATAGCAAAGGTGAGTATCATCTTAGAATTTGAGATGTTTATTCTACTGATGTTTTGTCAAGCTAAGCTAAGAAGTTTATAATTTTTACAGTTAAGTTACTTCTGTTGAAAAATATATAATAATAAATATAAATGTTCATAAAAAACAGAACCTGTATGTAGTACTCACTGTGTACTCGAATTACTAATTTATCTGGCTCTCTAAGTAAACTATAAACAGGTCGAAAATATTTTATTAATGTTCAGTGCAGCAAATAAACCAAACTAATCCTATTGACTGACTACTTTTGCTGACAAAACTGAGCAAAGCATAATATATTTTATGTAGAGAAGAATCTAGTATGTAAATTTGATTAGTCAACTATTTTGAAAATCAGATAGTGAGAAAGAAGAGGGAATTCTCTTACGAGTATGACAAATTTATTTAAATCTCAACAAATCCAAAAAGCAAAAGTTCCAAATTTTACACACTTGTTCGCAATTATGTATAGTTTGTGTTTCTGATTCAACTGAAATTACAGCAGCCATTTTTGGAGTTAGAAATTTTGAAGAGGAGAAACTGTGGCTCAGGTGCATCACATGACACAGAAAAGTTAACATTTTCCTAACCTGGAAATGTATTTCACATAGATACGTACCTCACTGCATCACTAAAAATACTACCTTGTGTACAACACTGCTGTGGAATTTCCTGTACATGCACAAACTTTGAACAAACTCCCACCCATACCATGTTTATGTGTATTGTGCCAGCTTATGATGTAATACCAAGATGCTGTAGCACTCCACCAATAGGAAGGTGACACAACCTCCATGTACAGTAATCCTCATAAGCACTAGCACATGATTATAAACTCATTCTTTACAAAACATGAAATGCACCAGACACGAGAGAAAGGGTGGTCTGTGGTTCAGAGAGGTGACATACATTTTCAAGTTTGATAAAACGTTAACTTCAGAAATGCTACTTACTCTCTGCACAACTAAGAGATAGAATCCCACATTGAAGATGGTGGAAGGACTGTTGCTGACCAATTAAAAATATGGCTCCATTCTGAAACAGCAAAAAAATGAGAATGCCCATGGGGTGTGACATTCACAAAACTAGGGTTCACCTGGTGGAGCAAATCCTGGTGGGAGACAATACATTTCTAAAGCAGGAAATACTCTTCATTTTTTTTTACAGTAGAGCAAAAGTAGGTTGTAGGCTGTAGAGCAGGGGTCTCCAAACCTTTTTGGACAAGGGCCGGGAGGTAGATCTTTTTAGGTTTCGCAGGCCAGAGAGGTCGTGGTAAAATTAAGTAAGGATGCATACATGATCAGAATACAACATCACTAATTTATTTCTCATAAGAGTACATACTGAAAATATTTAAGATGTGCAATCATCTTGTGTTAGCATTAGTGAGAAGCATGAAGCATTATATCATTTTATTACTTAAATGAACTGTTTACGAACCATATCGCAACTAGATTAGCTTTTGCTCAATTATGTTTTATTTTTTGTTTTTATAATATTAAAAAATTATAATATTACTTTAACAAATTGTTGGCGGGCTGGTTAAACCAAAGTCGAGGGCTGGATGTGGCCTTTGGTTTATAGTTTGGAGACCCCTGCTGTAGAAAAAAGGATATCAGGAAAGTCCAACATTGGTGGTTATATGTAGCTAAGGAGGGCAGAACTTGATAATATACGATAAGATATCATAGGATATGGTCCACTGATCCCTCAGAACTCACTGAAGGAAACACGTGTTCCTGACTGACAGGGATCATAGTTTTGAGAGAACCAAGAGCCCTCAAAAGTGAGATAACTTTTCATGCAAGAACAGGAGTGAAAAGGCTTCAACATCAAGATCTTCATAGTGTAAAGATGCAAAGAATAGGTTTGCATCAAGCCCCAGATGGACAAAATATTGAGTGAAAGTCAAAATGGACTTGGAAAGTTTGACCAGCCAATTGAAAACACATGTGTGGACAAATCAGAAAAATGACAGAACATGGGACAAATTGGAGTGTGAAGGAAAGCATCTGAAACATCAACCTTAGTCATCTATAGCTTGGGAAAAAGAGAGCCCAAGCAGACTGAGAAATTCGTCAATCCAAAATCAAGAAACAATGAGAAAGAGATCCAGAGAAGACAGGTTGATGATAGGGCACCAGTTTCCTGTCTTATTGAGAATGACAAACATTTGAGAATAAAAGCCTTAGTTGGGTAGAGGACAGGTTCAATATCTTCCACTACCAACAGAGAGTTTACAATGTCCTGGAAATCAGAGAGAAAAGGAATTGGAGGAGAAGATGTGTAGAAAGAAAAAGTAAAGTATGAAAGTATAGGAACAGACCATGAGAAATAACTTATACGACCCAAGAGTTCCAAAGAAGAGTCATTGGTGAGAGCTGCAACAGCCTGCCTTTTGGAAGAGCTTGGATGAGGAATGGGAGAGGAGTAAGTGTGATGTGATTCGCAAGGATGGGTAACAGACTGAGGAACCCATGGTCTATCAAGTCAGAAAATCAGAGAAACAATGAAAGATTGCTGGTAAACAGCTCAGTCCAAATTCCAAGGAGTCTGGAACACCTCAACTTTATCTGTAAGAAAAGGGGCAAGATGAAGGTCACAGAGATAGGAGGAAAAGAGGAAAGCATCCCAACTGAGAAGATCCCAAAAACAAAGAAACCAAGACAAAAATAGAGATAATAGAGGAAGAAATATAAGCCAAGATAGCAAACAAATAAGAATGGGTTTTCCCTACAAAACTGTTGACGTCACAATGGAATACTTCAGTGAGGAGATGAGGGGTAGAGATATAGTGAAGTTGGGTAATGGTAAAATGAAGATGCATAAATTACTAGAATGAGAAAAAGGAGCACTCCAAAAACAGAAAAGCAGTAGATGAAAGCTCATGAAGTAAAGGAACCACAGAGTTATCAGGATTCATTGGTGAAAGAGACAAAATGTCACATACCTGAGTAATGGGTGTAATAAACTAAGTAGGAGGACGAGGTACTTGTTACTTATCAAGAATAGAAGAGAAGAACCAGAAACAAAGGATGAAGATGAAAAAAGCCAGTCAAAATCTTTGTTACTTATTAGAATTTCAAATGGTCCGAAGCCGAGTTAACTAATAATTTAAATTTAGTAATTAAATTGTGCTTTGGATTAAGTATTTGAATATATGCCGATACATAGTCAGTTTGTAATATCTGCCAACAAGATTGTTTTCTTTTTTTTAACACAAATACATTTTAATATATACACAACAATACAATTTACAATAACAATTATTACAAACACTTATTACAAACAAAGATTTATAAACAAAAGTTTCAC